ATCCCTATAAAAGGGCTCTTAACTCAGGCTTTTGGGAGATTTTTTTTTTTTTCGAACCAGTACCCACCCTATCCCCATCCTTAGCCAATATTGTATGTGACATACTGTGAGTTCATATCTTTTTCTGGGGAGCTAGTCTGTAGCTTTCATCAAATTCTCAAAGGGGCCCATGACCCCCCAAAAAGTTTAAGAATCTAATAACAACAACAAAAGATTAAGAACCTATTGCTCTAGTACTCTTGCTTGAAAACAATAAACAATTTGATAAATAAAAGGAATGGAGGGGGTTTTTTTTTGTTTCTTTGTTTTTTAAAGATGACCAGTGAGGGGATCTTAACCCTTGATTTGGTGGTGTTAGCACCACACTCTCCCAAGTGAGCCACGGGCTGGCCCCGGAATGGAAGTTTTTGAAACACAAAGATGGTAAGCTTACTGACCTTAAGATTTTAAAAGATGGTACCAACATAAAAGATATGGGATAGAGAATTACAAATTCGAGAATGGTAAAGTTATTTGAATTGTTAAGGGAAGGTGGAAGTGTTAGTGGTACATTTCTTTCATTCATTGAAATGTTTATAGGATGCCTGTTGTGTATCAGGCATTGTAGTAAGAATTGCAGGTACTCAGTGTAGTGTAGTGTAAAGAGTGCAGAAATTGTTAACAACAGGAGGAAGAATGCTGTGGTTAGAAGTATGAACCAGATGCATTGGGAGTCTAGAGGAGGGCATGACTCCTGACCTTTTGGAGCAGATATGCTGTGAATCTTGCCCTCCTAAAAACACTTTATCTCTGGATGCCTAAGTCAGAAAGTCTTCACCATTGTCTTATTTCTTATGCAGCCCTCAGTAGATGTTCAATTAATGAAATATATGTAGTAATCTGTTTTTAGTTAAGCCAGTGCAGTTGATAAAGTTTGTATATAATTTTTTCAAGTGTCTCTAGTATATTTTTGTGTTCATTAAATCTTTCTCTTTCTTTCTTTTTGTTTTGTTTTGTTTTGTTATTATCCCCCTTTTTAAAAGAAAGGTCACACACCAAACATGTAGCAGAACTGGGAGTCAAATCCAGGTCTGTCTAGCTTCAAAACCCATGCTCTTGGGCTGGCCCGGTGGCGCACTGCTACAGTGCGCTGCTTGGGAGCGCTGCGGCGCTCCCGCCGGGGGTTCGGATCCCACGTACAGACCGGTTCCCGCTCACTGGCTGAGCGAGGTGCGGGTGCAACACCGAGGGTTGCGATCCCGTTGCCGGTCCCGGTCCGGTCCGGGCGTGACACTGAGGGTTGCGATCTGTTGCTGGTCACGAAAAAAGACAAAAAGGAAAAAAAAAAAAACCATGCTCTTTGTTTGAGACATATCAAACAGTCCTCATCCTTGGGAACTTTATAGTCTGGTTATGATAAGACCAACCCCCCCCTCCACTCCCCCCAAAATGAAAGATTAGTTATAGTAAAACTATAAATGCCACAAGCTTAGTTGAATTTACTCTGACTCCTGTAAGGAGTGGCTTAGATTTAAATATCTGCTCTGTCACTAATTAGTTTTGTAATCTTCGACAAGTTACATAACTTTTCTGAGCTCAGATTTCTTCACCTGTTAAATGTCGGGATAATAATGATTATAAAGACAAAGTGAGATAATACAAAATTCCAGACACATAGGAGGCACTGGATAATATGATTATTGTGTCTGGCCGCGAAACAATTGGGTCGCCCCTCTGTATTGTTTACACCTCAGCTTTTCTTTCTTTGGCTCTTGGTACATCCACGTCTCCAGCGGCTCACACAAAGATCTCTTAAAGGAGTTAGTTTTTGCCTGAGGGTAAGCCATTTTTAGGAAGCTTCTCCTTGATTTTTTTCCCTTACTACAGCCTGCTTTGCCTCTCCAAGAGAAGTGAAGCCCAGGAGAGAAATACAGAGTTGAAAAAGAAAAGGAGGGCCGGCCCATGGCTCACTCGGGAGAGTGCGGTGCTGATGGCACCAAGGCCCCGGGTTCGGATCCATATAGGGATGGCGGGTTAGCTCGCTGGCTGAGCGTGGTGCTGACAACACCAAGTCAAGGGTTAAGATCCCCTTACCGGTCATCTTTTAAGAAAAAAGAAAAAAAGAAAAAGAAAAGGAAAAAAAGATTATCAGGGAACTGTACATCTTAGGTACCTGTAAACCTCTTGTTGCCTTTAGGCTGCATGATAGTGTCTGAGGGTATAAATTTTAGTTTCCCAAATTTTATACAATCAGCTCTTCCTTGTTTAAATAAAGTGCCCTCCCTTTTCACACCCTTTCCTCCCTCATTGAGAAGCAGAGGACAAGCATGAGGTCGGAAGTTAAAGAAAGCCTGGATTTTAATCCTTATTCTGGTACTTTAATAGCTTTGTGACCTAGGGATAGTTAATTAACCTCTGTGAGTTTCAGGTTCCTCAGTTGTAAGATTGTGATAGTACCAGCTAATTCACTAAGTTATTTTTGAGGGTAAATGAGGTAATGTTTGTGCAGCATTTGATATATAGTAGGCATTGAATAAAGGCCTCCACTTCCGAACCTGGAAGTTAACCCTTCTTAAAGGTTCAAGTTGCTTTTTAGTTTTTTGCTTTCTGGGCTGAACTACTCTGATTCTTTTATCTTTTCAACACTCAGTTTTATTTAAATGATCGTTCTCTGCATTCTCTAAAAATGCTTTCATATTCTTTAAAATAGTGTGAAAGAAATCAAAGGGATTCTGAGATCCGACTAATTCAGAATCTGACAGATCCATGTTATAGAAAGACCTTAAATTCATAAGGTCCATTACATAGCACATATAAACACACTTTCCTACTGTGTTCAGTTTTGCAGTCCTGTTGTCTGTAGGAGTAGAGCAGATGAACAGACTTTGAGTCTCATCTTCTTACACTAACCAACTAAGGTTTCTGGAAAGCAGTATCAAATACAGCTGAAAGGCCTAACCTATTCCCCTAATACAGAGGGGTGTAGATAAAACGAAGTATGTAATTTGTTCCACATTCTTACAAGCTCTTCAGTGATGTTTTCAGGTCAGATTTACTTTGTGTTCCAAGCAGTGAAACATAGGAGTGTGAAGAGCACTGTCATTTAAAGTTTTCTTCTCACAGGCATAAAGATTTAGTTAAGAGTATTTACAATCAATTAGCAGTTTTTGTTTTGTTTTTTTGTTGTTGGCTGGTCAGTACAGGGATCCAAACCCATGACCTTGGAGTTACAAGGCTGTGTGCTAACCAACTGAGCTAACTGGCCAGCCCCAAGCAGTTTTAATTGTCAGAAAACAAGGGAGTATGTGCTCAGCGAGCTCATTATACAGTATTAACATCTGAAATTAGGCTTTTTAATAAACAGGAGCCTCAGTTTGAAATTCTGAACTCTGTGAAGTCTGTCAGAGTCAAAGTAACTTTCCTTCATCTATGTACTTCACAGCTATACTTAGTCTAAACAGTTATTTTTAAAACTGTTAAGGGTGCAGAATGTATTTAAGATAGGGTATCTTTATATCTTAAACCAGGGGTTTTCAGAATGTGATCCCTAGACCAGCAGTGTCAACATCATCTAGTAACTTGTTGGAAATGCAAATTCCTAACACAAAACCTAGACTGGGTTTGGGGCCCAACAGTGTAGTTTAACAAGTTCTCCACGTGATTCTAATGCATGTTGAGGTTTGAGAACTCTTGCCTTAAAATTATAGGAGATAGAAACAAGATATGGGAATATTATATAGGAGAACATTCTGTGTTATTTAGAATGTTGTACTGATTTTAGGGAGTACTGTATAAATTTCTTTTTTTTGACTGTTCTCAGTGGACCACATAAGCTTTCAGATGCGGCTCATTCCTTGGACACTCTGCCCCATCTGTGTTGGAACTCCTGTTACAGCACTTCATTGCCACCCCCATAGACTGAGAACTCCAGTATATAAACAGTGGATTTGGGGACCATATCTGACTTGCTCTGTTGTATCTCTTGTGTGTTGCAAGATAGGTGCCTGGCCCTTAGTAAGATAATGGCCCTTAGTGCTTCATGACCATACCTGTATCTCTCCCTTCATCTGCCTCTTCATAGGAAGCACTCAGACACTTGCAGTCATTGAGTAAATAAATGAAGTTCCTTAATGATAGGAAATCTTTTTGGATGCTAAGGTTCTAGCTGATGAAAATGTCTTAACCTGTGAATTGAAAATGCCTTTGGTGCTGAAGGATGTGTCTGTGGCCTTGATGGTGATGGTGTATACTTATTTCCAGGCTCATCATTGTATGCATTAAATATGTACAGCTTTTTACATGCCAGCCATACCTCAATAAAGTGGTTATAAAAAGAAAGAAAAAGAAAGTACTCGGTGCATCTTCTGCATTGACTGAATTTGGCCTAGATCATGACTATATATTAAGTACTTTCTAAGAAATGGGCTTTAATTAGGCATGTGTACATATGTTATTTTATTGCCTTTATAGCAACCTCTTGAGGTAGATCTGACTTCATTTTACAAATGAGGAAACCAAAGTTCAGAGCAATTAAATAACTTGTCTTAAGTTCATACAAGTGAGTGGCAGAGTAAGAACCGGGTCTTTCAGTCTTTTAAGGATTAGTATCCAAAGCACTACTGTCACAGTGGAATTTATTGCAACTATTCATCGTATATTTAAATTATTTGCTTTTGTTTCTTCATTAAGATAAAACTTTACTTTTTCTTGATGCAGATTTTTATTTTTATTTTTTTAGTTCCTTTTTCATCTTTTCCCCCATCTCACCACATTAATTTTGTTAAATCCATTTAATCTTGAGTAAAGAAACATCTGAATGTCTCTGATGTAGAGGCTTCAGCAGGCTTTGGGTTTTCTAGTTAAGCTCATAAAGCTTTGGTGCTTTCAGCCAGTCTGTCTGAAATTAGTACATTGATCTGAACTATTTAGTTTCATTATGTGGCACTCCATGTTATTGCTTTAAGCAGACAGAAATTGCCTTTATTTACCAGAGCAAAAATAAAATTGTTTTTTCTATTCAGAAATTGAGAAGATCCAGAAAGGGGATTCAAAAAAAGACGATGAGGAGAATTATTTGGATTTATTTTCTCATAAGAACATGAAGCTGAAAGAGCGGGTGCTGATACCTGTCAAGCAGTATCCCAAGGTAAGGCAAAAAGTACCTCACTTCTTTGAGTTATCTTTGTTGGTCATGGACTTCTGGGAATTGTGATGCTTCAGGTACTTTGCCTGTAAACCTTTTCTTCCATGCTGGCAGTACCTGTTTCTGGCAGTTGAAATATCTTAAGTCCATAACTAATAATATAGCTATAGCCAAGGAAGTAAATGTACTTATTTTTTATTAAAGAGTTTCTTTTTCAAATGTTTGTTCAGGCTTGAAGTTCAAAGAAAAACATCGAACCTTGAAGAGAAATTCTCTGTACAAAGATTGACCTGAAATCTAAAGAAAAGGGAGTGTAACACAAATCCTTGATTGGATGAAGTTTTTTTTTTTTTTGGTGGCTGGCTTCTAAGGGTATACAAACCCATGACCTTGGTGTTATCGGCTAACTGGCCAGCCCTGGATGAAGTTAATTTTATTTCTTACTCAAAGTTTTCTTTTAAAGGCTGGCCAGTTAGCTCAGTTGGTTAGAGCACGGTGTTTATAACACCATGGTCAAGGGTTAGGATCTCTTACTGGCCAGCCACCAAAAAAATTAAAACAAAGTTTACTTTTTTTTTTTTTTTTTTTTTAAATATGCCCAGTAAGGGGATCTTAACCCTTGATTTGGGGTTGTCAGTGCCATGCTCTCCCAAGTGAGCTAACTGGCTGTCCCTATATGGGGAACCAAACCCATGGCCATGGTGTTATCAGCACCACACTCCCCAAGTGAGTCACGGGCCGGCCCTAAAAAAGTTTATTTTTAAGGAAATACTTTCTTCTTCTCCTTTTCCTTCTCTTTCTCCTTTTTTTGGAAAGGCAATTATATTTAGTTTACCAAATGTACTGTCAAAAACTATAATATGTCTGCTCTAAGGTCACTGCCTTAAAAATGTTTATGTATGTTAAAATACTAAGGGTTGGAGTGTGTTATGGAAGCAGCACCAGACTATATCAGAAAACCCAAATTCAAGTCTAGGACCTGCCACTTTCTAGTTATATAACCTTAAGCTATTCACTTTGTCAGTACAGCCTCAATATATCCTTCAGTATAATGGGAATGGTAATCCTCTACCTATTTTACAGGGTTGTTGGAGATCAAATAAGGTAATAGTCGTGGAAATGTTTTATTGGAGCATGTGTATTTAGACATCTGTTCTTTTCTGTTAGTTCAATTTTGTGGGGAAGATTCTTGGACCACAAGGGAATACAATCAAAAGACTGCAGGAAGAGACTGGTGCAAAGATCTCTGTGTTGGGAAAGGGCTCAATGAGAGATAAAGCCAAGGTAAGCTCACATTAGTGAGGTAAGAGGACACCCTAATGCCTTCTAGTTGTCCAGTCTAGAGTGAATGCCTTATGGAAGCAACCATTTTGTATATGTATGGAATGTGATTCCTTTAAGTTTGTGTTGGATGCAAAAGATTATAGACTAAGTTAATTTGTTGCTTGGCTACCCTGGAAGAACCTAGCTGTGCCCGAGTAGTTGTTTTCTTTCTGACTTTTGACTGCATAGTAATGGAAACAGCAGTAGAATCTGTGACAACTTGAAAGGGGAGCCGTATATACTAAAACTTACCCCTTTATTAACTAAAGACAATAAAATGTGAACAGCACACTTCCTTTTCAGTAACATGGAAAAGTGAGAACAGTAGTGAGTGAGGTGATTTTGAGGATCAGTTGGCTTGTTTTATAGCCAGGTGGGAATGTGAGGTCTACTAAAAGAATGTATTCCAAAAAGAACCATGAGTAATCCTGACACAACAGAACCTAATGTTGCTTCTCTTTTTTTTGGTCTCCCATGCCATAGTCCCATATACTGTGTGCTCTTTTAAGGTCTGCTTTTTAGGTGAGACATACCTGCTACAATGTAAAAACTTGCTCTTTCAGGCCTCTTCTTGTATAGCCCAGTTGATTAATGTTGTTTATTCAGACTCTTCTTTTGTCCACTTACATTTCTCACTAGATGCATGCAATTAGGGCAGAAGTATGTTATTCTAGGAAATGAGATTTCCATGAGCTTTTCTTCTTCCTGTACTGACTTCTTTCCTCCCCTGAAACTTCCCAGACTGATATAAGCAGATAAGTAGAGTTGGTAGTGATTAGCAGCTCTACCTGGGATTTCAAAACTAATACTTTGCCATAAATACATACATACGTGGCAAACAGCTATTATCTGAATAGAGACTAGAATTAAATTTTTTCTCTTAGGCTTCTAATAAGACCTCCAATGAATACCTGAGGATTTAAGACAACAGTTAACAGTTAGCAGCAGACCAAGTGTAGGTTTAGCAGGTTGAATAAATTACTATTCTCCAGAGCTTATTTTACTTTCTTAAACTTTGCTGTTTTTCTTAGATGTTGAGGTCATATTTTGCTGTCATTTTGGCCTTTACTTAGGTAAGGGTGGTGTTTTCTCCATCGTCCTTGTGCTGTAATGTTTCTCTGCATTTTTCCACAGGAGGAAGAGCTGCGCAAAGGTGGAGATCCCAAATATGCCCACTTGAATATGGATCTGCATGTCTTCATTGAAGTCTTTGGACCCCCATGTGAGGCTTATGCTCTTATGGCCCATGCCATGGAGGAAGTTAAGAAGTTTCTAGTACCAGTAAGGAAATCCATATCCTTTATCTTCTGAGCAAGGGAGAACTGGGATCTTATGCTGTTGTGAAGAAAGAGGTTCTTTTTTTTTTCTTTTTTTTTTTAAGAGGATGGTAAGGAGATCTTAACCCTTGACTTGGTGTTCTCAGCACTGCGCTCTCCCAAGTGAGCTAACCAGCCATCCCTATGTAGGGATCCAAACCCTTGGCCTTGATGTTATCAGCACCACACTCTCCCAAGTGAGCCACTGGCTGGCCCGAGAAAGAGGTTCTTAACCAGGGTCTTTGCATACCCTGTTTAAGAAACTGTATACCAGATTCTGTATTTATGTTCATTTTTCTGAGGTGGTCCATTATTTGTACCTTGTTCTCAAAGCACTGTGCTCCAAGGCCAGTCTGCCCCTCCTTGTCTAATGTGGTTTTCCTATCATATGTTGTTAATATGATAGGATCCACAATGTATCTGCATTCTAATATCTGTTTTAACAAGGTTTAATTTAAGATTTAACTTAACTGAGCTAAGTGTTTTGGTGCTACCATGGAACCAGGAACTAAGTGGGTCCTGCGGACAGCTGCCTCTGTAGCCCTTCCCTCCCCCGCCCCGTACTCATGGTCTAGAGAGTCTAGAGGCTGACAGCAAGAAGCTTGTAGCATTCGTGTTAAATGGATTAAATTCTGACCTGGGTGCACTTAGGAGTTTCTCTCTTGGAGGAGTTTACTCAAAGTAGAGTTTTATTTGGAAGAGGCATGATTGTTACAGGCTTGGCTGTTCGATGATGTTAAACAGATTGGTGTGCATCTTCTTTCAGACTGCAACTGAGGCCAGAAAGTTGGTATGGGCCAGATTATCTGTCTTGCTTATTACCATATGGTCAGATTATTGCTTTGAATAAGTAGAAAGTGGTGCTATTTTTGCCTTTTAGCAAGACCTGGTGGTTGTCAGAGTTGACATAGTATTGTTGAATATTTAATATCAAGGATGAATCTCGAACTTTAGGAAGGATTTGGAATACTATTCAACTAGAATTGAGTAAGCGTTATGTTTACATCAGTAAAACTAAGCAGAGGTATAGTCCTTGGTTTTCTTGAACATAAAATGAGCTGGAACTAAATGTGGTGTCAGAGGATGTGAGACTTGGTAGAGCAAAAATTTATAGGCACGGGCCGGCCCGGTGGCGCACTGCTATAGTGCGCCGCTTGGGAGCGCGGCGGCGCTCCCGCCGAGGGTTCGGATCCCACATACAGACCAGTTCCCGCTCACTGGCTGAGCGAGGTACGGGCGCAACGCCGAGGGTTGCGATCCATTGCCGGTCACGAAAAAAGACAAAAAGGAAAAAAAAAAATTTATAGGCACTGTGTCCCTGTCATGCTGAATTCCAAGGATTTCCAGTATTATCTCAAATGTGTCAGCAGCTGCTTTGTTTCCAGGTGCCTTGTCCTTACTAGAATGTTCAACATCAAATATCCGATTTAAAATATCCTAGAGAAAAACTCACAGCTGGATAAGTTTTCCTCGAGGGAGTGCTTTTTACTCTTTTTTTTTTTTTTGACTGGTAAGGGGATTGCAACCCTCGGCTCGGTGTGGGCTGCACCACGCTCAGCCAGTGAGTGCACCGGCCATCCCTTTATAGGATGCGAACCCGCGGCCTCAGCACTACCAGTGCCGCACTCTCCCGAGTGAGCCACAGGGCCGGCCCATACTCTTCTTTTTGATGGGCTCTGTTGAAGCATCTTGGGCTACCCAGTTTCTGGAGGTCTACCTGTCTGCTCTTTTATCTTTAGTCTTGAGCATATTTTTCAGAAGGGTTAGATTTATGAGGCTTCCATGTAAGTGATCTTTGAAAAAGCTGCCCGCCACGGAGACCTGGGTGTCCTCAGTATTAGTGCGGCCATTGGAGGAATCTGCACAATGGGCTAGAATTGGTTACTTGATTTTCCAATGTGAGTCTCAAGCAGCAATGATGTGTAAGGTAGGGGGAGGTCCAGAGTTGAGAGGACATCTCTGTAGTGACTAGAATCTTATTTTCTTGAAGCTGTATCCACCTGGGATATATAAAAATGTGTGAAGTGTTAGTACTGAATAGCTCTCAACAGGAAACATGTCAAAAGATTTGCAAATGGTATTTGACTTAATTCTTCCCTCTTCCGAAGAGAAAAACAAAGTGAGCCTATTCTTGCATCTATGACCAGAGTCCCCAGTTTTCCCCTTAGAACCATTAACTGTACCAGGAAGGCTTCATGGTACAGTAGGAAGAACACTGGACTGGGAGCTCTATGTGCATCATCTTGGACAAGTTATTGCACTTTTCTGAACCTTAGGTTTCTTATTCATCTCAGACATTTGTTAAATATTTGGTAGATCTGAAATTTAAAAAATGGCTCCAAAGTGCAGTAATGACCCAAGAAGAGCTCACAGTCTAGTGAGAAAGACAAACAGTTCTAAAATTATATGGTAAATGGTGCTTTGGGAAAAGGGGAGGTGTGGGGGCAGTATTAAGAGAAAGTTTTTCAAAAGAAGTTCTGTATTAGGGAAGTCTTGTAAGGGTGAGTTAGAGTCCCTCAAGTGAATGAAAAAGACAATATAGCCTATTGATCCAAAGCCTAGACTTTGGAGACAGGTAGTTCTGAATTTACGTAGAACGTGCCTCTTATTAATTCTATGTCTTTAGGCTGATTGATTTATACTCCCTGAATCTGTAAAATGAAGAGATCTGCATATTCAGGGTCATTTTGAAAATTAAATTGAGAAGTCTATAAAAAGCTTATCTAGTGCCTCGTGCATAGAGCTCCATTAATGGTAGTGGCTTTTATTATTCCAGGAGAAGGAAACTATTTTCAAAGGATGGATATGTGAGAATATGCCAGGCTCTGAACTATAAGTTGTTCAGCTTGGCTGGAGAGGAGGTTAGTTCTATTTGGAGAGAGGATGGAAGTGATTTGGAGAGCTAGGCAGGGACCACATTATGAACAGCTCCATCTGAATAATAAGGGGTCTGCCATCAAGACTTTCGTCAAAGATGTGACGGGCAGGGTGCCATTGACTTCAGAGAATGAATAACTTGAGACTTCATTGGGGCCGTCAAAGCTGTTCTTAGTATGCAAGGCTCATGTGGGCCAGATGACTTCTCAGTACAAGGTGATGTTGTTCAGTACTCCTTGTATTTTTCATTCCCAGGATATGATGGATGATATCTGCCAGGAGCAATTTCTAGAGCTGTCCTACTTGAATGGAGTACCTGAGCCCTCTCGTGGACGTGGGGTGCCAGTGAGAGGCCGGGGAGCTGCACCTCCGCCTCCACCTGTTCCCAGGTAAAAATAATGGAGATAGCCAGAAGTAGGATGTAAATTTGACTACTGGTACCTTCTCTCTCTTAGTAGTGCTCTGATCTCCAGCTTAGGAGGGGTGTCAGGATTTGTGTGTTGTATCAAGAATGGAATTCTAGATCTTGGGCACTTTGACTATAGTCGAGTGCTTCAGTCCTGCTGAAACTTTTGGTCTTTTAATTTTGGACAGTCCTAGCAGTTTTTAATAGTTTGACTTTAGAATTTTATTTTATTTATTTATTTATTTTATTTTTTTTTTTATGACCGGTAAGGGGATCTCAACCTTTGGCTTGGTGTTGTCAGCACCACGCTCAGCCAGTGAGCCAACCGGCCATCCCTATATAGGATCCAAACCTGTGGCCTTGGTGTTATCAGCACCGCACTCTCCCGAGTGAGCCACGGGCTGGCCCTGACTTTAGAATTTTACCTTTAGCAACTGATCTTTCTGGAATGTTAAGACTCTCCAGACCTGCCCGAGGCAGTGGACACTGGTCCACTATGGGACCTGGGGAGTTTTCCAGTGTGGGTCCTTTACTTACCATCATATTCCACTGTGCTTTAATAATAGTTTAGTTAAGGCATCATCAAATCTATCTAGCTCCAGAATTTGCAAACAAGTCTGAACATACAAATGGCCTATTTGTAAAAACTCCGTTTAAAATAAACTTTCTTTTTGTAGGGGCCGTGGTGTTGGACCACCTCGGGGGGCTTTGGTGCGTGGTACACCAGTGAGAGGAGCCATCACCAGAGGTGCCACTGTGACTCGAGGAGTGCCACCCCCACCTACTGTGAGGGGTGCTCCAACACCAAGAGCACGGACAGCAGGCATCCAGAGAATACCTTTGCCTCCACCCCCTGCACCAGAAACATATGAAGAATATGTAAGAAATTTGAATAGTGTTCCATCTCCCAGTATCTGGAAGGTTGCCAAAGGAAATTGAATGTCAGGGCCTTGGCTCTTTATGCACATGGCAGGGACTGCCTATAAGATTTGGAATCTACAGTTTTCTCTTGCAGTGAATGTTTAACTATAAAGAGATTTTTCCATTTTAGGCATGTTTTACTATATGTGTGTAGATTAAACAGGAAATAAACTGTCTTAAGGTACAGTGTTTTACTCTAAGGGATCTCTCACTATTAGTCCTGATAATACTGAAGTCCTGATAAATACTAAAGTACTTTATTTTCTGCCCATACTTGTCCTGTGGCATATCGTGTTTGTTTGGGGTTGGTTGGTTTAGTAACCGTTTCTCTCTAGACTACTCCACAGTGGATGTTAGCATTTTGGAGGGGAATTTCATGTCCTTTTAATGCAGAAGCCTGCCATACCCCCCATTGGATATAATTACCTTCCCTACTCTTGTTATTCTGACTTTCTATTTCATTTTATTCGTTCTAGGGATATGATGATACATATGCAGAACAGAGTTATGAAGGCTACGAAGGTTATTACAGCCAGAGCCAAGGGTGAGTCAGGCAACAGAAGTGCCGTTTTACATCCTAGGGTTGGATGAAGGAATTGGAGGAACTGAGAGTTTTAGGCAGCACCTGAGGAACAGAATGGCTCACCTTCTGAGGATATCTTCTTTGATGAGGCATACACTTAAACCTGCAAATTTGGATATCTGTGAATTTTAAATTATGATTTAGAATCTGGGAATAGCAGGTGAAATTCCTGAGCAGTAACTACCTAGAAACAAAGAGCAAATGCCTTTAAATTATTTTGATTTATTATTTAAAAATATCACAGCCACATTAAAGTTGCATAAAAATTTTAAAGGAAGCTAGAATTTCACTACCATAACTTAGGTTGTTTTCTGCATTTCTCTTAAAAACCTTTTTGTGTCTGTGTAGTGTATATGTATCTTACCTGTAATTGATAGAAAAGGTCAGAATTCAGCCCAAGGAACAGTTCCTTTTTCTTTTTTCTGACGACTGGCTGGTACAGGGATGGAACCTTAGACTATGGTGTAATCAGTGGCATGCTGTAACCAACTGTGTTAACCCGCCAGCCCAGAACAGTTCTTATCCTGTTTGTTTATTCTCTTCCAGTGAGCCCTAAAATACATGTGTATGTACACTGTGATTAAGAGAGTCAATTTAGGATTGTGGTTTTTTGCTTTAAATTGTGCAGTATCCATTTTCCTTTGCTGCAGGTGTTAATAATGTTTTTATGAGTGCGTAGTATATACATGTTTTGGAAATATTTTGAGGTTTAGGTCTGGTGCAGAATGAGTATTTTCCTGTATTGTACACATAAAAAAATGAGTGAGATATGGAAGAATTTGAGAAAAAGGTGAAACATAATTACTCTGTAGCTTACTAATACGTTGTCTTTGACTTTCAGGGACTCAGAATATTATGACTATGGACATGGGGAGGTTCAAGATTCTTATGAAGCTTATGGTATGTCCTTATTTCTGTGGTGGGGCAGAATGTACAAGTAAGTGCCTGGGAGGGTGCTGGTGGCTGAATTATTGGGAGTAAGACAGTCATACACCTAAGGAGAAGCCTTTAGACGGTCCAGGTGTTGGTAGATGTGACAGTAAGAGTCCTTCTCTTATTTAAGTTTTGTGGTGTGTGGTAGAAAGAGGGACTACTAAAGTGAGATTGGGGGTACTATTACTCTTGGAAGGCTAAGTACATGTCTTAAACTAGGGCTCAGGTCCAACTTTGCCTGGTTGGAGCATCAGACTTTTAAGCTGATGTTCTTGTTTTCTATTTTAGGCAGGTAGACAGCTAGACCTGGGTTGTATTTCTGGGCCTTTTATGCTGATAGCTAGGCCACATTGGTAGATAACAAGAACTTAATCGTGTCCAATTCTATGCTTCTGCCTCATCTCGTTTAAAAAAAATTTTTTTGGATCTCATTGAAAAGAATCTCAATGTAGAGGAAATGCCAGCTGAAAGGGACCTGGGTGGCAAGCAGCTAGCCAGAGCAGGTTAGGGGGCAAGAACAGTGCCTGTAAGAATCAGAGGCTGTAGGGGCCGGAGCCAATTCAGGGCAGTACTGGCATCATGCTCCTTACTAGCTTAGAGACATCTCAACTCAGTCTTTGATCCCAAGAGAGCTATAGAGGCTAGAACGGCAGCAGGACCAAACTGCCTTCCTTGGGGTTTGGTTACAAATACATTGCTCAAGTATGTCCTCTAGCCAATTATGGCCCCATGTTAATGGGCCCCAGAAGGAGTGCTGTGGATGCCGAGAGGGTTGCCTTTGTGAGATATTTTCAGCATATCTGAGGGACTACCAGAGAGTCATTGGCAAGGGGCTCAGCAGATGACAGTTCATCTTAAGACATTGGTTGGCAGTCTCCCCTTACTCCTAGCTGGTAAAGAGGGGCCTCTCACAGACGGACAAGCTGAGCTCAACTCTTCAGCACAGTATGAAGTAGCCAGTCAGCTGCTTGCTCAGGGAAACAGTTTTTACCAGTTTAGCTAAATAGCACTGGACAGTTGCGGTGAGTAACACTGCACTGTTCTGCTCATATATCACTATTTAGAAGAACAGTATGAGTGTACCTGGGTATTTCCCTCCATCATTGAGGCAGTACAACAGGGCCTCTTTACGTGCCTAAATTGCATTTCTGTTTTGCCGGATAGAAGACTGAACGGAAAGGCAAGCTGCTGCTTGTGGTCCTGGTATGATGTTGCCATGGTTAGTCTGTTCTGATCTCTGCCTTTTATAAGCAGAATTAGAAAAATAAACTGTCTTGTTGGTACTCAGAAGCCACTTGGAAAGTGATGGACATGTATATTATACTAGGGATGTAAATAAGGTTGTATGTGACTTTAGATTGATTCAGGAGTTTAAGACACCTATAGTCATGAAGGTAGGTATTTTTGAATGCAGGCAGCAGGAGAGATACTTCAGGAGTGAACTGGCATGGGTGAGGTATGGGAATGAGTGGGAAGAATAAGCTTAAATACAGCTAATTTTCATAAGAGGTCAGCTTTGTGGGTAAGTGATCATCTCGCTCAGGCAATTCCCTGTCATAGAGGAAAATCATTTGAGGCTGTCACCCATGTTGTGTGGCTTCTCTGGTTTGTCGGCATAAGAAAGGAGCTAAGGAATTCTCCTAAACAGTGTTGTAAATGGAACATTTGATTATATTTCCTTCCCCCAGAGCAGTTGGGTATCAGAGAGCCAGAGGACACTTCTCCACAGGGAGATCTGACTTGCCTATTGCACGGGAAAGGGGTGACCTGCTTTCATTCTGAGAGACTTTCAGAAGTATTGTCACCTTACCTGAGTTGCCTGCCACATTGCTTTGGGAACAGGAAAGGCCATTGGAGACCCACTGAGATTAGACACTCTCACTGGAGGGTGTTGGGTTTATCCAGGTTGGGGGACTGAAGTATAGATCATGTTGCCTGTGGAGAACCTCACTGCTGGAGATTACTCCAGAGCAAATGCCAGCCTTTTCTTCCATCCTTCACTCAAAACTGTGGAAAATTGCCCAGACTGCTTAGGAGGGCCAAACAGAGTGCAGAGCAAGAACCAACCACCAGGGACCCAGATCAAGACAATGGAAGAAAAGCAATGTTTTTGGCGATCTTTACCACGTGACCTACCCCTGCCCAGAATGCCATTGGCACATGGTTTATGAACTCTGCTTTTCCCACAGGCCAAGATGACTGGAATGGGACCAGGCCGTCGCTGAAGGCCCCTCCAGCTAGGCCAGTGAAAGGAGCATACAGAGAGCACCCATATGGACGTTATTAAAAACAAACATGAGGGGAAAATATCAGTTATGAGCAAAGTTGTTACTGATTTCTTGTATCTCCCAGGATTCCTGTTGCTTTACCCACAACAGACAAGTAATTGTCTAAGTGTTTTTCTTCGTGGTCCCCTTCTTCTCCCCACCTTACTCCATTCTTAACTCTGCATTCTGGCTTCTGTATGTAGTATTTTTAAATGAGTTAAAATAGATTTAGGAATATCGAATTAATTTTTTAAGTGTGTAGATGCTTTTTTTCTTTGTTGTTTAAATATAAACAGAAGTGTACCTTTTATAATAAAAAGAAGTTGAGTAAAAAAAAAAAAAACCACAAACCTGTTAGTTTCAAAAGTGACATTGCTTGCTTAAAGGTTCTGAAGTAAAAGCTTGTTAACTTTCTCTTAGGTTTGATTTGAGGCATCCCGTAAAGTTGTAGTTGCAGAATCCCAAACTAGGCTACATTTCAAAATTCAGGGCTATTTAAGATTTAAAATCACAAACTTTAACGGCAGTAAGTGCCACCATGTAAAAGTGAGCTCAGATGTCTCTAAAATGTTTCCTTTAAAAGCACATGGCGGTTGAATCTTAAGGTTAAATTTTAATATGAAAGATCCTCATGAGTTAAATAGTTGATGCAATTTTTAGTGTTAATTGACTTTAAAAAACAACAAAATTAGCTTTGTAAAACTGACTTTTTCATCATGTGGGTTTTGAAATCTAGCCCCAGACATACAGTGTTGAGAGATACTTAGTGGGGGGAGTAAGTTCTGAAGAGGTTGATTGGGGGAGGGGGGCTGGCCACCTGAATTGAATTTGATGCAGAGCTTTTTAGCCTCAAACAATCTTTCAGTAATAGTAGTAGTAATTAAAATTTCAGTATTTAAAAAGACAGAGTATTTTGTCCATCTGAGGTTCTGCACTCCATGAAAAGCTCACTTGGACACTGGGGCCAAAAGCTAATGATTTTAAGTTGACGGTTGTCAATTAAACTGTTCCCAAGGTAGTCAGTCAAGTATGTCTCAACACTAGCATGATATAAAAAGGGACACTGCAGCTGAATGAAAAAGGAATCAAAATCCACTTTGTACATAAGTTAAAGTCCTAATTGGATTTGTACCGTCCTCCCATTTTGTTCTTGGAAGATTAAATGCTACATGTGTAAGTCTGCCTAAATAGGTAGCTTAAACTTATGTCAAAATGTCTGCAGCAGTTTGTCAATAAAGTTTAGTCCTTTTATAATCAAAGTAAATGTGATGAATTGTCATTTTTTTGGGTGGACAATAAAATAGTTTTTCTCTTTCAAATAAACTTAAATTAATTCTAAAGTTAATGGGCTTGTTAAAAGTTGGAGACATTCTTAAAAGTGGTGGGGGGGGTTTTATTTTAAGTTTACCAAAAAAAAGTTTATTGAGTTGCTAAGTTTTAGTTTAAAAATAACCAAAGCTTTTTCACCCCCTGGAAGTTGTTAAAAGCAGTTTTATCTAATCCTATCAAAAGTTCTAATTTCTGAGAGCTGGCAAGTTAGCTCAGTTGGTTAGAGTGTGGCCTCATAACACCAAATTCAAGGATTTGATTCCTTGTACTGGCACCTAAAAAAATAAATAAGTAACTTCTGGAGAGAAAAGCCCAACTGAGCCAAAACTTGGATTGGTTTCCATACATACATCTCAGTATTTAAAGTGCCAGCCACCCTTGTTTGCGCCTTCTGTAGAGCTCCTAGGTGGCTCTAACAAGTGGCATCAAATAATCTCTGCGCTCTGAAAGGGATAGCACCTGCCTTTGGATATGACAATTCAGCAAACCCTGGGTTCCTTTAATAAGGGTTTTCCTTCCAATCCCAGAAGTGCTGTTAATAACTCAGCTGGGCTGGGGCATGATAGGCTGGCTCTGAACTCCCTCCTAAGAGTCCAAGAGGGAAAATGATGGAATTGGTTGGCTCTGTTTCTGCTTCTCTATGTTAATTTTCAGGGTTCTCATACCTTCCCTAAGAGAGGCACCTAAACTGCTCGGGGGTGAAAAATTCTCTTGTATGAAGTGCCGAGCTGCCTGCAGCAGTGCATGATGGACATTTTTTTCTTTTTAAAACACACCAACAAAAATATGTATTTGTAGATTGTGATAAAGTGTAAATAACTGAATTTTCAACCATGGTTTGAAGTCAGCTTTCAGGGCATTATGTCTTGTTTTGATGAAAAGAGATCACTCTATACCCCCCTTTTTAAAGGAAAATTATCGCAAGAGAATCAGGATGTGTAAAGCTAACATGCATCGCAAAAAACCAAAGGTAACCTAAATGTCTGATTTTAATAGCACATATTTCTCTTTTACATAAACTGTGACAGCAGCTTGCATAAACAATTCTTTAGCTGTTAATTTTAATGTTAAAACTTTGAAAAACTTGTTTAATAAAAATAGCTGTAAAAAGAAAAACCATATGCTGCCACATAAATTAGCCATAACTCTTAATAATCCTGCCCATCAAAAATGAACTGTAATGTAACCTGGGCACAAAGTCTGACATCTTAAATGACACATTGTAAAATATCAATGACTGTAGATTAGACCTGCTGCACCCCAAAGTAAAGCTTTCTGCTCAGCTGTTTTAAAATATACGAGGATGAGCCCCTATAGGTCCCCATATTGATATTCGTAATGAAATGTTACTTAAAACTTCTTAAAGTTGCATGTTTCTCTCCTGTAATGTGTAAACTGCATGCAGGATCTCTTTATCTTTTATTTTGTATGTCTTTAAAACTTCCTCTTCAAAAGACTGACCTCTTATTTCTCCACTTTCAGGTGTTTGAAAGCTCCTAAGGCATTTCCTGGAATAGAATGGGTCGTGAAGACCCATGTCAGGTATGTTAAGGTGGCTTTCTATTAAGGACAGTGGGCCTTCTATCATAACTGTAAAACAGTTGGTAGAAGGTGGTCAATTGGCTAATCTTTCCTGCAATCATTTGTACTATATTTTACAACATGACCAGGCTTATATGTTGGTTTATAGTACATATTGAATTTACTTCTAATGATTGATAAGACCAGATAGTGTTCAGTCTCACTCTGTTTATCCTGTTAATAACTTGATGTGGTGGTGTTTCATTTAGAGTTCATTGGTTGCAAGCAGCAAAGTGGCTGATGTAAGTAGAAGGGAATTTATTAGAAAGATGTTAGGGCTCACAGATTTAGTGTGAAGTTTAGAAAATCTGGCCTAGGAACCATAGTGGCTGCAGAGAACTGGGACAGCAGTGGTAGACCACAGAAATGGTCTTGAAGCAGGGACTGGTTGCTTGGGCACTCTTACTGGAACAAGTAAGCTCTAGCTATGTTTGGTTTATTTCTCCCTCTACTCAGGATTCAAGTTCTAGGGAGGGAGTGTCAGTGGATTAGCTTGAATTACATGCCCTTACTTTACCAATATTCAATAAGAAAGAACTAGTTCCTCAAAAGTTAGTTGGGTTGTTATTAGGAAAGAGAAATGGATTCTGGGCAGCCAAAAAACAATTGTTCAGTAATATCTGTACTTTACAGAAGTAACTGAGACTTAATGAGGGTAATAACTTTTCAGGGTCACATAATTAGTATGGCTAGTAACCAAGCCCAAGTTTATGTGTTGCCAGAACCCATCATTTTAACCTTATATATACTTCTTTAATCTAGGGAAGGGGTATTTCTCACACTTAGGAAACCCTTCATAGGAATATTTTGGTATAGTAGAAAGGACATGGAACCTGACAAACCTAGAGTTGAATCTATGAGCTACCTTTTATTTAGTGACCTAAAACAAATCACTTATTTCTATATCCGAAGAAGGAAGATGGTGATAACACATATCTCATGGCTGGTGAATTGAAGGGGTTTCTTTTTTTTTTTTTTTCCTTTTTGTCTTTTTTCGTGTCCGGCAACGGATCGCAACCCTCAGTGTCGCGCCCGTACCGGAGCGGGACCGGCAACGGGATCGCAACCCTCGGTGCTGCGCCCGCACCTCGCTCAGCCAGTGAGCGGGAACCGGTCTGTATGTGGGATCCGAAACCTCGGCGGGAGCGCCACCGTGCTCCCAAGCGGCGCACTGTAGCAGTGCGCCACCGGGCCGGCCCTGAAGGGGTTTCTAATATAGACAAGGCCAACCAACTATGTATACATAGTAATATTAGTGTTCTTTCCTAAGAACACTTTTCCTAAAGTTTTATCTCCCTGGTTTGCATAGTTAGAGGCTCTGACAACCGTGAGCCTTTCTGTTGCTTGAAAATATCCAGGAACTAACTAGCTGATTTCTCCCTCTGCCCCTGAGTGAGCTGCTAGGGTTAAGATGGCACCAAGGAGAGAGACTCTAACTAGGTAAGCCAAAGACGTGTACTTGTATAGCTTTTGACAATGAAATTTGGTTTCTTGGTGCTCAGTTTTTCCAAACCTGACTCTCAGGCAGGATTCTCTGTGATCTGGAGGCTTTTTAAGGAGGGCCATGTGTACCGAACATGGTTCTGGACACCCAGGAAGTTCTACATTTGATATTGGTCACATGAATGGCTAGGAAATTTAGAGGGAAATCTCTGAATGCAGAGAATTTAGTCTTAACTCTTCCTAGGGTAGTCTTCAGGGCAGAAATGGATTAGAAGTTTGGGGAATTTTCCTTTATCATTTGGACTGTGATTTGTGCTTGGAAAGGCAAGTTGCTTTGTTCATAGACCCAGGGTCTGCTGGGGGTCTGCCTATTCTGGGTGTGTAGTTTAGTCAGTTGTTCCAAATGTTTTCTGTGGCTTTCTATCATTCGCTACCTATGAACTTTTACTACAGTTCTGTATGCTTTAGATTCTGGAAGGATTGAGTACGTGTCCTGGCTCTGCCTCATCTTATTAGCCTTTGTCATCTTAGACAAAAACAAAATCCTTAACCCCTCTCCATGCCTCATTTCTTTATCATCATATGAAGTTGATAGTAGCTAACATTTATCAGTGTGTGCATCACAATATCCTAAGCGGTTAATGAGGGTTATCCTTTTGTCCCTCTTTTTTTTTTTTTTTCCTTTTTGTCTTTTTTCGTGACCGGCAACGGATCGCAACCCTCAGTGTCACGCCCGTACCGGACCGGGACCAGCAACGGGAT